AACACTCCGCGTTTAATTTCAGTGGGGATTGTTCCGCATTAAAGGCCCCTAAGGTTGGCTAGTTGTAACCTTGATGGGTTTTTTTCCCCCTGTGCAAATCCAACCTGTTTCTTCAACTGCTCGGTGCGTTGTACCAATGCAGAAGGGGGTTAATTCCGGTTGGGTTGCGTTAACCCAGCCAAACAGCAACTTACACGTGGGCCTGGAATGCCCCTTCTCCCCCATCTTCTGGATGGGACCGTATCGTGCCCGCCTGCCCAGGTCTCTCCGTTCCGAGGGTTTGCTTTCATCTTCCAAAGGCAGGTGGGCCTCCCGTTCTGGCCTGGAGGCTTTTGACGTGAGCAGAGAGACGCGGCGTGATGCTCCTGGCACCTTGTAAGCCTCTCCCCAGGCTTCGGCGGCTCTCGTCCTCCTGTGCCCGGCGTTCCCTTCTGGAAAGGGCAACGACGTGTGGGTGGGGGTTCACTCGCAGCCGGAATGGTAAACTGGAGAGAAGCCAGCCCCGCGTCTCAGACTAGGAGGGACATTGGAAAGATGCGAGCTTTGGGCAGGTGGAGAAGGAAAAGGAGACGGGACGGCTGCCCTGAATTCGAAAAGCTGGCATGCCGACCACGGGGCCCGCCTGTTCTCGGCTGCCACATGAGTAGAGCCAGTGGGCGACCGCGACAAGGAAGCTTTTTGGGACACGGGTAGAAGAAGCTGGTTGCCCCTGGAACTACCCGCTTGGAAAGCCCCAGAGGGGGGCTCCTTCTGTTGGGGGGTACGTCAAGGCTGGGCAGAGGCGTTAATGTTGCTGCGGCCTCTTAAACATCCATTTTTGGGGCCTGACTTCTTTGCAGGGATCGCACAGCCCCAAAGGTCTGACCGATGCCGAGAGAATGGGACCGGGCGACCTTCCGAGGAGCTCCGAGCTCTGAAGCTCGTTGAGTTCGGGACGGGCTGCTCTAACTGCCCCAGCGCGACTTGCTCTGAAAGGCTTTTGGCTGAAGAAGAGGCTCAGCGCTCCCATACAGGAGAAGTCAATAAGTTGTGAGTTGGCAAAAATATCCGTTTCAGAGCAACGGCGGGAAACTGCGGAGCAAATCTCCAGAAGACCAGGGGGAAGTGAAACCCTGCAGGATGGTTGCTCAGGAAAGAGAGTTCATGCTTCACAAAACCATGATAGGAAAGCCCCAGGAGTCGGCTTTTGCCATTTCTCTGGTACACAAGTTCCCCTTCTCCTCCATTTCCTTCTTCAGCATTTTATAGCTGATTGTGTGATTGTCTAATTTGCTAAACTAAAGATGGCTTTTCTTTGTGTTGGGCAATTCTTTTTCTTCACCGTTGGATTATGCCAGATACCCCCTTGGGGAAACTATCCAAGACTCTAAGTGGGTCCTTTCTGGGCAAAGTATCCAAAGCCCATGGTGCCCAGCAAGATCCCAGGCCAGGGAAATATTCTCCTGTTCTTCCCTGTGCTGCACCATCTAAGTTGCTGTTCCCCACATCAGCCTCCACACCCAGGAAGAACAGTGTTGCATTTATTGCTCTATTTGTATTTGCAAATGGCTTCGAGCAGCTCGCCCGAAAGTCAATCCTTAGCTGACAAAGGCCATTCAGAAGAGTCTGCTCTTAACGCCCTCCCTGAGGACCCCACGTTGTCCAGGGGAATCTTCCTTTCCAGTTTAGTAGTTTAGCAGTTGAAGTCCACACTTCTTAAAGTTGCCAAGGTTGAGAAACACTGCATTAGAAAGACAGTTAAAGTGATTCTGCCCTGACTCTCTTTGGCCTAAGAGGAAGGGAAGGGAAAACATGGTCAGCCTTTCAAGACTGATGTAGGCCAGAAGACAGGCTCCAAAAGATTAACTGGAACTCTGCTGGTATAGACCCTGTTAACAGAATCCTGCAGAATTAAATACACTCACACCGACGGTGCTCCTCTGTTAGCTGAAAACGCAAAGGAGCTGCAAGCTCTGGGAATGACAGTCAAGGAGCGAGTGGAAAAAAGGGGACTCCATTTAAAGAGGAAGAAGAACCACCAGCATTAGTACAGCCACCAGCCTTGGAACTGAGAATGAAAAAATCAAAGCGGTGGAGAACTTCTGCCTTTCGGGACTGACTATCAGCAGTAGAGGAAGCAGCAGTCAAGACATGTCGTAGAGCAACCACGAAGGCTTCGGAAAAAGGTATTCAGACGTTCCAATGTGTCTGAGCCTACGAAGAGCAGAATCGTGCAAGCCATGGGGTTCCCCGTGACCCTCTACGGAAGCAGAAGTTGGACTTTGAAGGAGCAGGAGCAGGAGCAGGAGCAGAAGGGCATTGGCGCCTTTGAACTTTGGGGTTGGGGAAGACTCCGGAGAAGACCGTGGACAGCCAAGAAAAGAGACCGATGGATCGTTGAACCAAAGGACCTCGAGTTCTCACTCGAGACACCAGGCTCCAGTTACAATTCTTTGAAGACGTTATGCAAAGTCTCCGTTCTCGTGAGCAGCCCATGAAGTTAGAAAGTGGCAGAAAAGAGGAGGAAGCCCAGCAGCAAGGTGGAGGGAGTGCACCGATGCCAAGGCCTGAAGGACCTGGTTGGGGACCGATGACTGTGAAGAAAATCTATCTATAAAAATGCCAAGTGTCAACACGTGGGTGGAAAGACTGCTGGTAGAAGGTTTTGCCGGCACATGGAGGGAGTTCCTTCGTGCATCTGTCATGGCAGTGAACTCAAAATCCGCTGACTGAGTTCCAGGAACTTTTCGGTCAGCAGATTTTAAGGATACGATTGCCCTCGTTCTGAGTGTAGTCAGTGAAATGGCCAACAACAAATGAAGGGCTCTGGAGTAAATGCTAAATGGCCTGCAATCAGATGAAAAAGAAAGTCAGTTGGGAAATCAGACCCCGGGTGCAAATGAAGCTGCGTTGGATTGGATTTGCAGAAACGAAAGTTTCTAAATTTGGATCGGATCCATCCAAAAGATGGCAAAGTTGTAGTGAAGCAACTTGCAGGCGGGGTCAGTTAAGGCCTTAAAGTGAACCCTAAAATAATGGATACGGAATAGAGACTACAGAAAAAGCTAAGCAATGAAGAACCAAAAATCCCGCTCGGCCGCACTAGCCATGACGAAGCAGAGGCAACTCTACCTTTATAGCCTCCAAGGGCCGTAGAGTGGCGTTTTTCCATCTTGGCCACCTGACGTTGTGTGGACTTCAAGTCCCAGAATTCCCCAGTCGGCCGTGGTCCGGACACCTTCAAGTGGCCGCGTTTGAGAAAGACTGTGCTCGTTCTTCCCCCCAGCGGAAGACTGAGCCCCAATGCCCTGCCCAGCTTGCCCACCCCCACCGTATCTCTCCCCCCTCCAAAGGAGAACCCCACTCCTAAAACGAGCTCCCCGTTGGCTCTAAAATTCATCGGCCAGATGGGACCCCAAGCTCCGTAAAGCGATATCAGGGAAACGTGGCTGCAGAATTTCACCGCAAAGCCACACTGGCCTCCGAAAGAGGAAATGGTGGAAGGTCTCCCAAAACAGGAAGCCAGACGTCCCCTTCTCAAGAAGGCAGGTGCGCGGGTGGCTGACATCTTACAGTTGCCAAGGTGGAAAAACAATGCACTGGAGTCATCGACGCCATCAAGAAATTTTGCCTTATGACTCAGCAATTTATATCAAATACTGGGAAGCCCTGCAATTAAAAAGAAGACAGAGACGGGGGAGATACTGCGATTTTTCTGTTCCGCTGCTCCCCACCAAGGACGTGCACGGGGGCAGCCAAAGAAGTAAAGAAAGATGGTGGTCACATCTGCATGACCAAAGCTCCAGATGTGCAACCAGGCTGAAGCTGCCCTAACTAAAGAGGAAGCAGGCGGGGAAGCAGGAATCTTGTCTAAAAGATCCTTTTGGGGAGCTAGATAAGAAGGAAGCAAGTCAGTAAGGCAACTAGGAAAAATGTCACCTGAACCAGCCGAAGGAAGTTGGGCCTGAGCACATGGGAACCGCCCCCCCACCCCATCAATCAACAAAGCAAGAACTTCTGGGGACAAAAAGGGTCCTGAAGCCCACCCGCTCCTTGAATCCTTTGGGATCCAGACTTGGCGGCCTCCGTCCCTGACGCTTCTAGCTCGTGCCCAGCAGCCTAGTTGTGAAAGACGTTAAGTGGGGATGAGTGTGTACATGTGAGAAAGAGCAAATGTGCATTCTGGCCAGTGACGTTTTGTGGCAGCTTCCAATTCACCAGTCTCCATGTATTCCAAAGAACCTGCTGTGCCTCGGGGTTTGCTGAAAGTAACGTGTGTGTGCCCCCAATTACTTCCCGGCTGCTGGCCAGGGCTGTGTGTCTGTCTGCTCTGGCCCCCCATTTGGAAAACCCAGGTAGAAGGCAAGGGGGGCTTACGAGATCCATGTGCCTCAACAGGCTGTGTGTGAGTGAGTGACCAAAAGCCGAACCTGGGAGCACCAGTAAAACACACCATTTTTATGTGTGTTGCAGACATATATAAAAAAGAGGAGGGGCTTTGATCACATGAGCACAACCAGCACCTTGACTTTTTTGACCCCCCTGGAACCCCTGTCATCCACTCTCCTTTTGTCAACCCTACCAGTTGTCCATCTAACCTAGTGTTTCTCGACCTTGGCAACCTTAAGATGGGTGGACTTCAACTCCCAGAATTCCCCAGCCAGCCTGGGAGTTGAAGTCCACCCACCTTCAAGCTGCCAAGGTTGAGAAACACTGCTCTACTCCCCTACAGAGCGCTCGTTCTGGTCTTTGTCCACCTATTTCTCAATAGGTGGCCCAAAGCCACCCTCGTCTCTCTGCATCGAGAAAAGGCGTCTATTGCGCCAGCTAAAAACACGAGTATTTATTGAGAGTTGTACGGTCTGTGATCTGCATGTATTGCATAACGTTTTGTGTACTCCTTGGTTCCTATGTTTGGGGAAACGCTCTTCCGAAGGGGTGGCCACGGGGGCTTCGCTTTCACTTCTGGGAGGGAGCCAAGGGAGGAGCTGAGCTCAATATAAAAATGACCCATTGCAGAACGAGCGAGGCGCTTCCCTTCTGGCACAGCTTGGCAAACTTTTGGAGAGTTTGGAACACCCTGCAGAGAGTCACATATTGACAGTGCAAAGATCAACAGAGGAAGAAGTGAAACCGTCGGCGCTGGTGGGTGAGGACCAGGGGCCCCTGGAACCTCAGTCAGATAAGACAGGATTAGCCTTGGCCAGGTTGTACCCATTTCTCTCTCCCTCTAGGGTTGGGGTTCGGGGTGCTTGGCCCTGGACTGGCAAGCCAGGGGCCCTTCTCCAGGGTCCGGGCAAACAGTCCAGGACAGGACAAGAAGTGCATTCGTGAAGCGGCTTTAAATGCAGAAGAGAGGATACGATTAGGCGTGCGTGATGATTTTCTGACTTTTGCAGTATACGTGACAATTGGGGAGGCTCTGAGGGTGCGAAGGGGGTGGGGGCTTGGGTTATTCCCTCCCTGCTGCCAGGGGCCCAGAACCCCAGATGGGAGGAATCCTGCCCTCGGAAAATCTCGCGGGGGCCGGCCAGTGGGTCGGCCGGATAGAGAGGACACTGGCTGTTTCCCCCATGACAAATAAGGTGAGGTGAACAGTTTGGAAGTCACCTCTGCGGTCTCTGCGGTTCTCTTCTGGAAGAGAAGCCATGTTGGCCTTTTATATTTATTTATTTCATTCATCAAATGTGTACGCCGCTCATCTCGCTGTATAAGTGACTCTAGGCGGCTTACGAGTAAAAAAAAAAGGGATTCAAAAAACGATAAAAATATATACAGAAGCTAAAAGACGGAAGGAGCGTCCTCAAACCATCAGCTACCCCCAGAACTGCAAATAATGTTGGTATTGCAAGCACCAAGAAGGGCCAGGAGGTAAAACCAAGGACTGGGTTTCAGAGAGTCCACACAGCAAGGGAAGGTCTCTTAAAACTTAAGGGTATGGAGACAGAGAGGGAGGCTGGATATCCAAGGCAAGAGAATGTGAGCGTGGAGGGGGGAAATCTCTTCTCTTAAAAGGAGACTTTTAGGTTCATTCATCAATGCAGATATATGAAAAACTCATCTTTAAAGGCCCTCTTGGGACTGCCTGTTTTTCCTGAGGAAAGGGAAGCAGGGAACGGTGCAGACGTCGCATTGCCCTGATGGGACCTTCTTAGGTGCTGCAGGAAGCCCCCGAGTCTTTCTCATCCCTGGTTTCTCTGTTGCTCCTACCAGGGATTCAGTGACTCGTGCGGGAGGTTGGAAGACTTGGCCCCGGCCAGGAGGGGTGACTTTGGCAAGAAGGGTGCAGGTTGCCTTCCGGGCGTCCTTCCTTGAGACAAAAAGGTAAGGAGATGCCCTCAAGGCCCCTGGCTCAGGAGGCAGAGCCCGAAAGCCAGGTGGCCCAGAAGCCCCTCCGGAAGAAAGGGAAGGAGGGCGATTTCTGCCAAGCTCAGCTCACCCTCCGACCGTGGCCCTTATTTTGTGTTTCCAGGGGGTTGGACCTCTTCCCAGGAAGCGTCTCGAAATGATCCGAGATTACCAGGATCTTTCCGTGGCTTTCAATGCGGAGAACGAGGATGACGTGCCCAAGAGAAAAGGTGTGCAGGAGCCAGGTTCTGGCAAAGCTTTTTCTAGCCCCGCATAAGCACTGCAGTCCTTGAATGTCAGTCTGTAGCTCTTTCTTAGCCAGTGGGCACCGTCTTCTACAGTTTTCTCAACCTTGGCAGCTTGAAGATGGGTGGACTTCAACTCCCAGAATTCCCCCCCCCGCACCAGCCTGGCGTGGGGATTTTGGGAGGGTGAGGCCCCCCTCCTTTAAACGGCCCCGGTGTGGGAAAGTGGGGCTCTTGTGGA